CTGGCCAAGCGAGAAGAGTTGTCGAAAACATTGACAATATAGTCACAGAAGAGTTGGTAGAACCCATACAGCGTTCTGAATGGGTTCATCCACTAGGTATCGTGCAAAAGAGATAGCTCTATTCGTGTATGCACCGACCTTCGAGCGCTTAATCGACATGTACTTGTGGACAAGTTCCCTCTGCTTTCTATCGACCAGTTGATGGTTAAGCTATCAAGCGCCAAACTTTTCTCAAAACTGGATATTCGTAGTGCATACTACCACATGCCACTGACTCCAGATTGCCGACATTTGACTGATTTCCTTACGCAAGACGATTTGTATCGATACAAAGTGCTACCAATCGGCCTTAGTAGTGCCCCAGAAGCTTGGCAAAAATTTATTACTCTCTTGTTATCACATCTCAAATGATGTGTTGCGTATATGGATGATATTTGGGTCTTTGGAAGTAACCCCACCGAACAACAGGAAATCCTTCATAATGTGATGCATAGACTGAATGAACTGAATCTCCCTGAATACCAAAAAATGCCAATTCGCTGTAACGGAGCTCGTGATTATTGGACATGTTATTTCTACCTCGGGTATTAAGCCTAATGTGCAGAACACCAGAGCCAATCTCAATTGTCCAAAATCATGCAAGGTTAGACAGATGAAACATTACTTGGGTTTGTGTTCTTATTACCTTCGACATTTACCGAATTTTGCGACTATTGCTGAGCCGTTACGAAGATTGACGCGCCAAAATCAGGGGTTTCGTCAGGCCACTGAACAAGACAATGCTTACATGACCGTACAAGCGATGATTGAATCCACTCCCACGGTAGCGATCTTGAATGAGCACTGTCCTTACTTCAACGGATGCTTCCGATTTTGGCTTGGGTGCAGTTCTTTCCCAGTTGCGCGATAGCGAGGAGAAAGTGATTGCGTACGCATCACGTACCTTGTCTGATACTTAAAGAAATTATCCCACTGGAGAGAAGGAGTCCCTCGCATGCGTCTGGGCATGTGAGAAATGGCACTTTTACTTATTCGGACGTCGATTCACTTTGCGCACCGATCATTCTGCTCTTACAACTTTACTAAGTCACGGTACCAAACGCCAAAAGCTGGTACGCTTGAGTCGCTGGTACTCATGTTGATTAAAACTATGATTATGAAATAAAATACGTGCCAGGGTGCTTTAAGCAACTTGCAGATACCTTGTCGAGTCTCCCACTGTCCAACGAAGGGGAAAACGAGGACTTAGAGGAGGTAAAAATGATATCGCAGCTTTCAGACGGAACACCTACAATAACATTTGACATGATACCAGAGCATACGGACCAAGATCCTCTCCTAGCGAAGCTTCGGGAGTATATCTCCACTTCATGGCCAGTCGTACCAAGATCCAACCTGAGTTACTTCCATCCTATACTCTACGGAACGATCTTCCTACTGTGAGCAACTGCATTACTAGAGGCGAGCAGTTTGTTGTCCCTGCAACCCTTATTCCTATGGTGGTTGCATGTGCGCATGAAGGTCATCCAGGGATTGTGTGAACCAAAGCTCGGATACGACAAGGTTATTGGTGGCCGAAGTTAAATTCCAGCGTCGAGGCGACTGTTCGGAAATGTTACACCTGCCAACAACCCGATAAGAGTGCGAGGACCCTGAATCCTCCAGTCCAACCTATTGTGTACCCAATGAAGCCATAGGAAAAATTTGCCATCGATATTAGGGTCCCGTTTGTCAATGCACATCCGCAGAAGCGAAACGTGCTAGTGGCTACCTGTTTCTACAGCAAATGGCCAGAGGCTATTCTATGCGGGGACGTGACTACAGCCGTCATCATAAAGTAGTTCCGTTGTTTGTTTGCAAGGTACAATTTGCCAGAAGATTTAGTCAATGATAACGGCCCACGGTTTCGAAGTAACGAGTATGCTGAATTCCTAAGGTGCAATGGTATCAGACACACGAGGTCTGTACCTTATAATTCTGCAGCAAACGGACACGTCGAACGACTTAATCGTACTTCGAAAGAATCTCTACAAGTCCTTCTGCTTTCGGGAGAATCCTGTGATGCTGCGTTGGTATCTGCATTGGAGGTATACAGAACCACTCCACATACTGCAACGGCGAGACCTCGCACGGAGCTAATGCTGGGGCAAACAATTCGAACTCGCTTAAATGCAGCCTTTACATCCGAAGAAACCGCCGATCAGAGAGAATACGAAAAGTGGGCTGTTGACCAGGCTAAATATAGACGCGCTGGGAAAACGTATCCTCCAGGGACATTTGTTCGTGTGAGATTACCCAATTCCCGAAAAGGAGGTAATGTATTCGGACTGCCGACCCATGTGGAATCTGAGTGCTCGCCAGGAACTTACAAGTTGGCTGATGGGACAAAGGTGAATGCAAGACTGCTGGATACAGCGTTTTCCCAACGTGCTATTAAACAGACAAACACACCTACAACACAGCGCTCGGTACAAACTATTACCAACTTACGACGTTCCGGACGGATACGCTGCCCTGTCTACTCATACGCTTTAATGGACCAAACCTCATGACAATTCTTCGGGGTGCTGACACTAAATTAGATCATTCGTGGACATGTAATGCCTATATTTTTACAAACAGAGGAGGGGACAGTGTCGTGTCCAAATACCTTGCTTTGTTTTTGCCGTCGATTCGCTTAACCTACTCACACTTCCATTTAGCACGCATTGGCGTATCATGTGCTCTTGCATTTGAGTGGTTGCAATGCGAACCTCTATCGATTTAATTGTACTGCGCGTGTGTGCGACAGTTTCCTACATACATACGTTCCGGTGTTACGCTTGTCTGCTGCTTTTTCGGGATACAACAGATACAATGGAAGATTTGCCTTCTGCCAATTTCTGATACCTGGCTTCCATCGATACTGCACTGATGATATCACCACGAATGGTAGCGAAACGTTTGCAATTAAGTTGCCCAACTTGTCGAACATAACCGTAACTGAACTAGTCCCCCAATATCCCAGTATTCCGCGTGCTTTCAAATGATAGGCATGAATTTTTCGCATTGATTCTACTGATCATCGCTGTAACTACTAAGCTGTTAAAAAACAGACAAAACAGCGTGTGAAAAGCACAACCAATCGTTTTGTTCGTTTCCACTTTGTGATTTTTGTGCTTATTACGCATATTCATTCCGTGGTTTCCGATGGTGTTGTGCTACTGTATTGACAATTTCTAATCTCTACACGCAGTATGCAGATTGCGGTCCACCTTGAAAGTATTTTCGAAGCATATTTTCCGCAGGATGTGACATGCGCAGCCGCAGTTTGTTGATCTGATTCTCGCATGGAAATTTTACCGACACGAGACAGGTGTTTAGACGAGTTGTCAAGTAGTTTGAAATGCATAACCAATGGGTCTGGAAAAATCAGCATACACACGTTGATCAGAACTCGTGGTCATAAACAAAACCGTAGTTTCGTGACAGACTTGTAGGGTAATAAGCAATGCACCTATATCACATGCAGTTTCAACCGGTTTTGTAGGGGATAGAACTAGGTTGGTTGTACGTTGGTTATTAATTTGATACTGTTGTCATCGCTGGCGTCAGTAATAAATGTCTTCTATATTCGGCTACTTATTATACGAAGTACCATGTAAAGTGATGAAAGTTTAAGTTTGAGCAAATATGCTAGCCAGTAGATAAACTCCCGGCAGCGTTCACCGATATTCCTGCATCGTAGTCAAGATGAGCCTAACCGGTACATTGGATGTATCCGATGATAACTGAAAGCATGGCAGTACGTGGAAGACGTTTGGCTAAATGTAGCACTTACTTGCAGGCCCCCTGCTCTAGCTTCATTTTGCTAATAGTCTTAATCTTGTCCATGTCGTTCAAATGCACTAGACGGAAAAGTTCGTGCAGTGGATGTTCTGACAGTTGACATAGCGTGTCGATTGGAATATCAATGTGACTAACAGGTTTAGCTGACAGTAAACAACCTGGTTGTACCAGGACCAAAGTTAACGTCGATCTTTCCGTTCTGGAGCGAAAGGCGTTGTTTACTCAAGGCTATCATTCAATAGCCGTTTCTTGTCAATTTTTGCAGCAATTTGTGGCTTCTCATCGGCATATTAGTTGTGTTGTTCACAATGCAGTTCCGGCCCATCCAGGACTACATTAGGTGTCAGTCCTGCTCGGGAGATGCTGACTCCCGAACTTCTCTTACCAAAAGTATAGCTTACAGATCTGTCACTATACAATGTTGGTTTAAAAGTCTAGATCAGGAAAGGTTAGCAATCTAGATAGCTGAGCTCTTTGTTCACTGCAATATCTTTCTCGTCGGCTGAAAGTGAGCCTCAGTTGAAGGCTGGTAATTCGTTCACATCTAGTGTAGTATATGTAACCGTCGCTGTCCTACCAGTGATATAAGCTTCTGACAAGAGAAGTTGCCAGGTTTCCAACCTTTAACTCGATGGAATTCAAACAAACAAGTGGTAATCCATGGTGTTGGGAGTATTTGGCCTAAATCGATTCCAGTTTACAAATTAAATTTTGTGTATGACACATACATACAGATCGAAAGAGTAATCTTGAAGTTCGCATGGATTCTATCGAATTTCATAATAATCAAAAGTCACACATCGAGATGGCAGGATTTCGGAGCGTCTTTGATTCATTTTCCTGCATCGGTACTGCCTTAACTTAATTGCCTGACTCGGACGGATGAAAATCATGTCTATCTGAGACCTATGGAATGATTGATTGGAAAGAGCAGCACTGACTTTGTCCACGAGTCGCAATCTAAAGTGCAAGCTTGCAAGAAGCGTTACGGGCGCCTCTCTGAAACTGTGCTTCATTTTGGCAAAGTCACCGCCAAAATAGCAAATTGCTGATGCAATGTAACATGCCTCACTGTGAGTCTGTGGCTTATAGGTATTTTTTGCGAGTGAGGTGCTTGGTATCCATATCGCAACCCAAGTTTGTTCTTATGTCCTCTTTTTGTTCTGCTTCAGTGGGAACAGAATATCACCTGAAGGAGCTGTTCTCCTCAGCAGAGGGTTCTCAAACTCAACACTCCTCATCCTTGACGTAAGTGTGGGACACTTGTGATAAATTCAGGGTTTCTTAGCATTTATTGAGAAATCGAAATTATAAATGACTGGCCTATTTTTGAGCTTAATATCTGTTTGATCAGTGAGGATACCTGTTGTTTGGCGGGTTCTCGGTCTCAATATTTCTTCTCCTCCTAGAAAATACTAAAAGTATGCACTTAAAATGATTTCATACTTTCTCCTCCCTGTGTAAACTCATCGGTTGGAAACAACCGCAGTGCACGGTACTTTTCATTTAAATATCTACATGTCATGACAGTTAATTCAGTTAAGGACTATGCTAAAGAGTGAATATCAGCTTGTGCACTATGAGTCGATATTCGCCTACTCCAAGGTGACCCCCACATATATCTAGTAAAATCAGTAGTATTTAACAGCATTGCTTCCTGACAGGCAGCGAAAAGAGGCTGACTTCACTCCTAAAGTATGCACCTGCTCGCTCTGGGATGTAACCGAGGTACTCACTTTCTTCATTAAATATGTTTTGATTTTGTATTTAACGAAGAGACAGAGGACCATCAAAAACGATAGAAATCAGAGGGAGGTGCAGTTGTTGTAAAAAGAAAACCGAAGGCAACACAGTTAAATCCATGCTTTTTTCATAGGTCACGATACTGCCCGGTTGTTTAAGCCGAGGTAGCTAGTTGTCTTAAGGGATACTACCCGAGCATTTGGCTGAACAGCCTATCCTCAAGACGGCGGAGCGAAATCAGGAAATCGTACCCATTGAGACCCGATGACCAAGTACTCAGTTCTTACGCCTTTCGTGTGAACGCGTGCCAAACAGGGGCCAATCCTCCCCACAATTTCAACACTAGATGATGACTTGTTTATTATTGCACCGTTAGGGACAATAGTTCTGTACCGTTTGCAAAGTACTCAACTGAGCATAAAACCACGACATCTGCACGTTGTCCATATAAACGACTAACCTACGACTGAATGTGGTACCAGTCTATTTTCGGGTTCTGAAGAACTCGTCGTTTGTCGTGGATTGCGGCACACAATTGTGGCGTTGGTTGATGTTGGTCAGCCTCTGACAACAAGATCGCTAGGACCGTCACCGAAGTGGAGGGTTTCGGTGTGGCTCTCTCCCATCCATGCACTTCACAACCGATGGTTTCGTCCTGGTTTATACTCACTAGGTACCAATTTGCACACACCCACACGTTAGTTCCTCAGTTGCCAACCCGGGCACTCAAAATATAAAATGTTATAAGATGTTTTACCTTTTTTCCTTTTGCCAAACTATGGTTTACATGTAGTATACCTATCAATACTTTTGCTTTTAAAAATGTAAAGCCGTTCTGTTGCACGGAAAATTACATCTTTTGTTTGTGAAAGTTTTTGACCCCTTTATCTACCTGATCAACGCTGAAAAAAGATAAATACTGTGATACGTGAACATTTCGATTGCTCTCCTCAATCGCGAACGCAGTAGGCGCAGGAATTAGATGAAAGCACATCCGTGAAACAAGCGTTTCGTGAACAAACGTCAGTAGGATTATCAGAACCACGCAAATGTAACCTACTGCCTCAGTTGCTTTTGTGTGCAAGGTGATGAACGACTGTTCGTGATCAACAGCATTTCATCAATTCCAAACCATTTCTTTTGCACGAACATTTGTTTCATGTATGTATTGCGTTGATGAAATAAATCGAATATTATTATTTCGCGGTGTTCCTATTCTGCGGTAATTCAAGGTTTTTTGCCATAAGTTTCCATTTACCGCTGCGTTTGATATTAAACCTCTCTCTTATGCGGGGTCTCAGTTAACAAGAAACCCACTGCAAACGGCCGGCTGCTTTGCAATCCTAACTGGAATCCTCAAGAACACCAACAGTGCACTTCGTGAACTGAACCTTCAGGTAAGAACTTGTTAGTTTGCGCTCACTGTTTGATGAACTTTACACTAGCTTTTAAAGATCTACCCGAATATGTCGCATAAGAGCTTTGGTGGTTATTGCTCATGTGAATTGATGAATCATCTTTTAGCTGGGGTCATTACCAATTCTTTTGAGACACTGGTTGTGTAAAACAGTTGCCATCCGCATTAGCAGACTGGTTCGCTATTTATTTTGAATTGTGTCTCAGCAACTGAGACGGCTGTTAGATGTTGCCTATCCGCGACTTAGCCCTCCATGACCTGTTTGGTCGCTGTTCATACCCCTAGGCATCTTTCTGTGTCGAGTGAGCCTGAAATGGGATTGTAGGTTTTTCCATCTAAGACTAAGTACTCGAGGATGCCGCAAAATAATTGTTATCAGCATAACAAGTAGACTCATACGGGATTCATGGAATTCTCAGGTTAAATTAAACATGGTTCAATCTTGAGCCCGACTTTCCTCCAGTCAATCCGCAATCATATCAATAGTTTCCATAACCTAACGGTGGTTTTGGGAGTTGCTCGTGCCTCCCAGTATGTATTTCTATCGTCTGGATGACATTTACTCCAGCCGTAAGTTTTTCTGATACCGCCTAGTCAAGCACAGTGTGGCTCGTAAATTTTCCTTCGGATTTGCGCACACCTTCTCTGTAGTGAACCCCTGAAACCAGTATACAACGCGGTTATTTCGCTGTAGCTAAAAGTGTCTCGATTATTTTTATTATTTCAAATTTCCCACTGGGATAGCATTTTGGTGTCCAGAAACTTAACTTGTATACACACTTTCGCTGACATGTGAAATGCCCGAATTCAGCCCAAAGTGAGGTCACGTGACACGTGATATTTATAAGCATCATAACTGTACCTTGAAATTATCGGTCTAGTTGCTTTGCTTCTCACGTGTTAACCTGTACCCTTATTATGTGACTTGAGCTAATCCCAGGCCATAATACTTACAATCCGGCCGTTCCATCCCCAAACGATCTATCACACTAAACAGTGAACAAGTCCCTACACAGCTGTCCACGCGTGACCTCGGAATTAAGCACTCATGGACCTCCCATTTCTCCGAACAGGCCATATACCAACCAACACATGCCAGACAATCTGTGTTCAATATATCCAACAAAATCCCCACAACCCAGGCTAGAGTTGAGCATTTTAAGCTACTCACTGACCCCATCCTCGAATACTGCAGTGTACTATACGGCAAGTTGAGAGAGAAAGTGACAGGATGGCTGTGGAGCACTTGCAGAGGTCATTTACTGAACATCTGATTGTTAAGCACTCTGTTATGAGTTAACAAGAACGTTGCAATGAACTTCATCTCGAAGCACTTTGGATTCGACGATTTAACAATGAACAATGATTTATAACGGGTAAAAAAGCAGGTGCTTGACATGTCCTGTAGGGTGTTTAGCGTGACAGAAAAGATAGCGCAGGGATAATGGAGTCGTCAGTTCAGGCACTTACAGATATAACTGCACTGTAGTATAGAGGGAGTTTGAAATGAGTATGTACGCACACAAAGCAACAGGGGAGTGGTTATTGTTCACATCATAGGCAAAAAAATAAAAAAGATAGCAAGCACAACGCTTACTCGTGTGCAGTTATATTGGGTCGACAGGATACAGAAATCCAGTTTCTATAGAGTAGCGTTTATCAAATTTCGTGCAAGGCGTTTGGAGTGACTCATTCTCGAGTAGTTATGGCACTATCCCCTGTCTGTTGTGCATTAGTGCCAGCTTCTGGTGGTTATGAGCTATAGCATGTAGTGTAAATGTGACGGGGTATCGTCAAGGGTTTTTCGAAAAGTGATAGGGTGGGTGCATTTATTACATGTTCCGGTAGGGCGTTCCAAGGCTGTGACACTCGAAGGGAGAAACAGTTTCGTCGATATTCCAAGCGGCTGTACTTCATGACTAACTTAAACTGGTGACCTCTTAGCGAGGTGTTTTGATTGAGTATCGGAAGGGAATGGTATGGGTGGTTGGAGTTTCTCAAGATCTGGTACACCATTATGAGATCGCCCCTTCGACGCCGATAACGTCCACTGTATATTTTGAGAGTCTTCAGCCTGAGTGGGTAGGGGAGGCTGGTCAAACCTCTGACGCTCTTTGTTGCCCTACGTAGTGCAGTATCGAGGGCTGTGAGATGGTGCACAACTTGATGCTGCTTTTCAACATGTTGCACAAAAAGACCTATTCTGACCTGCCTACACTCTAACTACAACATAGTTCAACTCAAACCTTCTCAATAAATAATTAGACCGAATATATTAAAGGCTAGAACAAATATTCGCAATCGTTTCTTCGTGGTGAGATATAGCTATACGTGGAATAAACTACTAATCACAAGTGTTTTGTGACAGCGTGGCAACATTTAGATGCAACCCTCCAATTATCTTTATCTATATACGATAACCACTATATTCATATGGGAAAAATCTTTCGATGAGCAATGCCAAGAGGGGCCCAGAAACATCTAAACATCAACGTTTTTACAAAACTATACTTTTACCTTAACTAATCACTAGTACGTGACTAGGTGAAACGCATACCCCAATATTCCACCTAAGCATATCGTCCATGCGAGACCATGGATATTTTTGTGCAAACTGATCTGAGCTGCTACAGACACAGTTCAGCGTCGCGTATGTTGCGCAGACAACTGCAGTAAAGTGCTGAAGATCAGTATTACATGTTCTAGCTGCATTAGATCCTACTGTTTGCAATGTGCAGGCAAATCCGTCCAAGAAGTAAGACAGACAAACCAAGTTGCTGACACAATTTGGTTTTGCCCAACATGTCAAGTCATTCCAGTTGTCAACCGTTTAGCTTTGCTCATGAAAAAATGCGATAGGATGACTGAAATAATCGCGCAACTTGTAAATACTAAGATCGCTCCCACGGAGGTAAATATGGCCACGATAATACCTCACCCGGCCAAAGTAAGCTCTGAGTCTAAACCGAAGAAAAGAGCTAGACGCTCCAATCGCACTGCAGCGTTTGTGACCCTACATCCACTGGGTCACCTCACTCCCATAAGTGGGCAAGCCTCAAACATACCTGCTTACACTTCTCCAACCATAGACATTTCACTTGGAGATTCAGCCATGACACCGATAGCTAAGAGCCGAAGACAATTCGGTGCAGATAACAAGCAGGTAACGTACGCATCGATTGCATCGACAAACACACCGGGTGCGACACACACAAGTTCATCTTCAGTACCGAGCACGCGTGGCGCAAAGCAGCTTTCACTGTCAACTCCAGTGGTGCCCTCTAAACAAACTGAATTGCCGGCAAAAAGTATAAAGCCAGCACTCGACAGACAAAACCACGCTGCGCTAACTCTCGTGTGCACCAACGCTTCCGAATCCAAATCTGGCACGATGAAAGGCAAGTTGCAAGACGATCGCAACCAATGGAGTTCCATCTGCGAAGCGATTGGCATTCGGGTTGAGCCTGCAATACTGCAACGCGTAGCACGTCACCCGACCTCAGTGCACTCTGGTGAACCTCGAATTCTTCGAGTAACACTAGACTCAGCAGATGAGACAGAGGCTGTCCTGCTCTCAGCAGTTCGTCTTCGCAACTCACCGAGCAGAGTGCGCATATTACCTGATCTACCTTGGAAAGATCGCCCAAAAGAAGCAGTTGAGCAACGCAGTATTGCTACTAGGGATAGCAATAAAACTATATTTGTTCATGGTATTCCCGAGCTTCTGCATTCTTCTGATCACGATGCGCAAACACATGACCGAGAGCAGTGCTGGTACGTCCGCGAAGCACTCTCTGTTGGCAATGTTATTACCAAAGCCTTGACAAGAGTTCCGTTATCACCTAACTACAAGGGCTACGGTCCAAGGCTAATGAAAGGAATACTACACTCCGAGAGAATGACGCAAAGTTCTGTTGGATAGCTGGTTAAAGTTGCGAACTAGGTTGCCAACAGAGATCCGGCTAAAGGCAGCAGGCGAACGACCAAAAGTCGGAAACAGTTCAATGGAACTTGGAAACGTTACAAGTTCTTTATTTGCGCAGTCCTGCGGAGAGACCGACGCAACAGCGCCCACGGCACATAACAGGAGAGAGCACAGCAGAAGTGAAACGTCTGTTCAGGAACGCTCAATAATGACATGCAACATGACTGAAATACATAAACCAAAAAAACGGTTAATGGCCGGCCACCTAACGGCCGGCTTAAAAACTAACACAAAGTTGACATCCATCAACGCACTCCTAACAACAAAAGCCCTATCTTGCATGTACACAAACGCCCAAGGCCTTCTAAGTAAGTTGGCCGAACTTAGAGAACTCCATGTCTCAACCGCGGGACCTTGTCATGATTACAGTGACATGGTTAAACCCTGAGATAACAGATTCTGAGATCAATTTACCCGGTATGTCGCTGCTTTGGACTGATAGAACCGGAACCGGTGTGATTCTTTGCTATAATACAAACCTCCGATGTGAAGTTGTCGATCACCCGGAAATCGAAGCTTCCGATTCGCTTTGGTGCCGCCTTTGGTTGCAAAACAAGGGCACATATCTACTAGCCGTGATTTCTCGCCCACCAAACCCAACGTCAGAAATGGAGTTCAAAATGAACCACGCCTTTCAGTTTGCTTTGAACAAGTCCTACACCCAAATTCTTATCGCTGGAGACTTTAACGTGCATGACCTAGAAACGTCGGCAACTGACGGTATGCAGTTTAAAGACTGTTTGCAAGAGCTTATTGCTAGTCCCCCTCTTTACAACCACGTAACCTCTTCCACCAGATTTCTAACTGCTAACAAGCCGTAGATACTGGATCTTGTGCTTAGTAACGAAGAACTCATGATTGACGGGATAGTTACAAGCACACTAATGGGTCGCAGTGATCATGCTACTCTACTCTTTGATTATATATGCAATGCCGAGTACCCTGAAAAGGAGGAGGATAAAGTGCAAACTGTCACACACTACAATGTGTTGTCT